CTATTCTATTCTATTCTATTCTAAAGAGGAGAGGGTCAACCTATTTTCCAAACCACCAGAAGGCAAGGCAAGAAACAATGGATGGAAACTCAATAAGGAGAGAAGCAACCTGGAACTAAGGAGAAATTTCCTGACAGTGAGAACCATTTATCAGTAGAATGAATTGCCTCCAGAAGTTGTGGGTGTGCTCCATCAGAGATGGTTATGTCTAAAAATGTTTGGAATATGTGGGAAAGCACCAGAAAGACAAAAGGCAATGGTGGAAATTAAGCAAGGAGAGAAGCAACCTAGAATAAGGAGAAATTTTCTGATAGTTAGAACAATTAACCAATGGAGCAGAAGTTGCCTTCAGAAGTTGTGGGAGCTCCATCATTGGAGGTCTTTAGGACACCTATTTGTCTGAAATGGTCTAGTCTAGGGTCTCTTGCTTGAGCAGGCAGTTAGACTAGAAGACTTCCAAGATCCCTTCCAACTCTGTTGTTCTGTTCTGTTCTGTTCTGTTCTGTTCTGTTCTGTTCTGTTCTGTTCTGTTCTGTGGTCTTCTACTTGAGCAGGCAGGCAGTTAGAATAGAAGACTTTCAAGATCGCTTCTAACTCTGTTTTTATGTTCTGTTCTGTTCTGTGGACGTTGCATCGTTTGACTGCTGACTGCTCGTTGGAGACCGACACCATTTTTTATTTATTTTCTTTCTTCCGTCCTACGCATCCAATTGTAAACGTTGTACTTCAAAGACCTTCAAATTGCCACTCCGCTGGGGCACAGGGAAAGTTTTCCAAGCAAGGTTTGGCTCGTTTGTTCTGTTTGATAGGAGAATTTGAGAATCCTGATTTCAGAGGTATTGATGTCTCCTCGGGTGAAACAGTAGGCAGAATAGCTTTTATCTCTTTCTCCTCCTCCCTACCTTTCACAGCCACGGTTGAAACACACAAGTCTTCAGAAGGGAAGGACTGAAATGATTCCCCCCCCCAACCCCCAGGTGTGTGTGTATGTGTTTCATGATGGCTGTTAAAGGCCTCCCAGTTCAAAGTGAAACCTCTGCACACAAGTCATTCTGTTCCGCTCTCAAAACTAAAAAAAAAAAATCTTGAAATAAACTTCGTTATTTCATGTCCTATTTTGATGGGTCTGAGTGAGGAAATGAGGCACAGTTTTATCCCTACCATGGATGAAATGCTTAAAACAAGAGACCAAAAAAAAATAATAAATTGTAGTTCAACTTTGCTTGTATGGTTTACTGTGAACCGATAAGGTTCTGTTGGAAGAAATGTCCATCTGGGTTCATTTCCAAGTGTGAAAAAAGACACTGGCGACATGGAGGCTGCTTGGAAAGATGGTTTAATGATGGACAGGATCCCATGGCTTGAGCTTCTGAACAGAAAAGGGGAACACAGGCTTCCAAATGTTGGGTGAAGAAGAAGAAAGAGAGCACGAAGGGCTGAAAGTTCTTGGCCTTATACTCTCTGTTCGGCGCCACCTCTCTGTTTCCTGTTCCTGTGTAAGAAAATGTATTCTGATTGGTTGTCAAACTCCCATGGGGCCATGCAAGGGCTACTCTCTAGGCTGTGTTTTGAATCCAGGTATGGATGACTTCTCAGATGCCATGAGGCCAGTTGAATAAAGTTCCAACATTATCATGCCTTTTCTCCCATCCCCCCTGGGGCTGCAGTGGAGAAGTCTTTATTATGTAAAGTGGACTAGCCTGGCCCATTAACAGTGGGGATGGGCAGGAAGCTACAGGCAACTATTCTGTCTTTTAAAACATGTTTCTTTCTCCTCACATCCAGAGAAATATTCTGCCTTTTCAATATTTCCTAGGATATTTGATTTTTCTGGGAGAGGGCTGGATGAGATAACGTCCCACAAAACAAAAGATTGTCCGGGTTTTTTCCCTTTACATCTTCTGTTACGCATAGTTCATTTTACATCATATTTTCATTTCACATTTCAGTCATCTTATTCTTTCCCCATATTTTCCAGCTTAACTTTGATTTTTTCTTAATATATAAAAAATATCCTTATTGCCTCTCCAAGTTAATCAGATTTAACATATCATTTCCATCTATTCTTTTGTTTTACTCTCAATAGCACATATATCCTCAAATTCAATTTTATATAGTAAACATTAGTTAATTATCCACAATTAATAGTATTAGTCTATTTCCCTCACATCCTATTAGCTATATACCATTGGCTATATCTACCAAATTTCATTCTATTCTACTAGTAAGTCCTTTTCCTTCTTTCCTCCTTTCAACCATTTTCTCTTGGTCTCTCAGGAATTTCTCTTATATTCTCTTCTCTACACTCATTCGCCTGGCTTTCTCTTGTTCTTGTAATTTCTATATTTTATCTTTCTTCTCCTATTTAATTCTCTTGTTTTAGTACCTTTCCTCAATTTTTCCCTCATCTTTCCCCATTAATCCCACTTTTGCTATTTAATTTTCCCTTTTGGGGGGGGCCACTTCCCCTTGGTCTCCTTTTGGTGTCCGAAATACACTGCTTTTCCAGAGCTCAAAATAGATGGACCCAGGCAGTGGGGGGTTTCCTGGAAGTTCGAGGAAAGCCCCTGGAGCCTGAGGAGGGCAAAAAATGGGCCTCCTGGAAGTTCCAGAAGTCCAGAAGTGAGTCTGTTTCCGGCCTCCAGAGCCCGGGGGAAACAGAAGTCCCAGAAGCCTGTTTCCAGCCTCCGGAGGGCCTCTGGAGCCCAGGAGAAGCAGTTTTTGCCCTCCTGGAGGCTCGGAAAATGCCCCTGGAGCCTGAGGAGGGCAAAAAATGGGCCTCCTGGAAGTTCTGGAAGTCCAGAAGCGAGTCTGTTTCCGGCCTCCAGAGCCCGGGGGAAGACGTTTTTGCCCTTCCGGAGGCTCAAGAAAAGCCTCCGGAGCCTAGGGAGAGCAAAGAATGGGCCTAACAGAAGTTCCAGAAGTCTGGAAACGGGCCTATTTCCAGCTTCCGGAGGGCCTCCAGAGCTCAGGGAAATCAGTTTTCACCCTCCTGGCGGCTCAAGAAAAGCCTCCGGAGCCTGGGGAGGGTGAAAAACTCCCCCCCCCCCATGCCATGGTGCAAGAGGCCAACTAGGCCATGCCCACCTTGGCCACGCCCACCCAACAACGGGGTTTTTGAAGCCCATCCCTGGATGTACATGTTGGAAGAAATAAAGTGGGTGGAAACATGTGTGCCTTAATTCGGAAACCAGGGCTAAACCAAACTATTTACATTACAGGCACATAGAAACAAATATGCAGAGACAGCCACTCCCCAGAATGGTAAAAGTTCGCATGGATGGCTGAGGAATTCTAGGAGCTGAAGTCCACATATCTTAAAGTTGTCCACAGTGTTGTGTGGGTGATCCAACACTGGAGGTTTTTAAGAAGAGATTGCACAACCATTTGTCTGAAATTGAGCAAGGGGGTTGGACAGATAAAGCTT